CACGTGCAGTAGACTTGGAAAAAAGAAAAAAATAAAAGAAAAAAATGAAAGCCCAAGTGTAATAAATGCGGCATCGAATGCAGTCGCCCCTGTCTTTCAGCGGAACAGGCAGAGAGACCTGCACCCGCCCCGATCAGAGCAGAGTGAATTCCCTTCGTCCTGCCCGCATCAGCAGACGCACGCGTACGTGCGATACTGGAGTTAGTCCCTTCCGCTCAACGCATTTTTTTTCCCGCACATTTTTCCCAAAACTTAAATCCCCCCAACACACAAAAACCGTTTTTTTTTTTGCCATGAACAGCGGGCAAAGCAAAGCAATACTTCTTAGAGTCCGTCCTTGAAAAAAAAAACAAAAAACAAAGGGAGTAGTGGGGGTGGCTGTGTAGTGTATTACTGATCCTTTACGCATAGCGTGCAGGGTTCCGTAGAGACGCGTTGCACGTTTTTTTTTTTGTCCAGACGTGCGTTTTGCCTGCCCTCAATCACGGCAGCCGCTCAAAGCCGCAGCACTGCCACGGCGACGGTGGTCACAAGAAGAAACGCAAAGGAACTGAAGCCAACGGCGGCCGCCGCACTGCCCGTGACGTAAGCGTAAGCATTTCGCGCCCACGGGGCAGGCCACCGTTAGACGAAGTGTGCGGAGAGCCCGTGCTCGCACGCTGGAGCTCCACCTCCCCCCATTCGAAGATAAGCCCGCTGCCGTTGGCGGCGACGGTGCACACCTCCTCGTACCGGGGGCACTTGATCTTGCCGCCGTCCTTGAAGTGCTCCAACGCCGTCACTTGGATTTCGCCGCCCTTGGGGCACAGCTCAAAACCACTCCCGCCGAGGTACTTCACCTTCGCCTTGCCCTCCGCGCACTGCACCTGCGCACACACACCCCCGACGCTCGCATAGCCACTGCTGTCGCCAGCCTCCACTTGCAGGGATTCCGCATCCAGGCACCACGAGCCCTTTCCATGAAGGGTTCCCGGTAGAATGTCGGTCCCTTTCACTGCGCAAAACGATTGTGGTTCACCACCAGCCGTTGAAACAAAGCTGCAGGTCTCCTTTTCGCCACTGCTGGCTAGAGAAGCATCGACAGTACATACCCCGATGGCTTGACGGTTGGACATGCAGCGAATCGACAACTCATCATTTTTATTGCAGAACATGTCGGGGTAAGTGGTGGGAGTTTTCTCCGAACAAGGCTTATCCAGGAACTTGCAGCCGGAGTTGTTGCCCCACGACATCGGCTCCTCCATCCCCTACACGGCCTTGTAGTAGCCGAGGTCCTCAAACGCCGCCATCGTCAGTGCAGTGTAGTATCCGGCAACTGTTGCACCAAACGGACTCATCAACTCGTCCTTCGCGTTGCGCACCGACCACACATATGCCCCTTCACAATCGCGCAGCTCCATGCTCGGGATGGTGTCGCAGCCGTAGTGCAGCTTCGCCTTTCTCAAAGTCACAGGTGACTTCACCACCGTCACGGGAGAGGTGCCGCCGCACACACCAGTCACGTTCAACAGCATGTCGTGCTTCTTCATCTATTCCATGCTGAAGCCAAGAGTAAGGGCAATCGCATGCTCCACTGTGAACCGGGGCACAACCAACGGAATCTTCATGCGCTGAACGAG